ACAAATCATGAAAATATTTTATAGCATCATACTACCGGTCAGCCCCCATTCACACCTGAGTGATTTAACGCATGTTTCCATGTTATTTTACCGTGCCCATTCACATCTGAGCATTGTGCTCTCACTCTACGCTCAGAAAAAGTGCAGGAGCTTCTTTGGGACAGGATTGTAGGGTTATGGCCCAATAGAATTCAGCTGGAGTGCCTGAAAAACCACGCTTAGCACATTTTGTTTTGCACATGATCTCATCTAACACTTTCCAGCTTTCCATTGGCTATAACAAAAATGCTCAAGTCAGAAATTATGCAAAAAACATGCAACAAAATGAGTGTACAAATGTGTAAGAAAAATGCTTGAAAAACGTCCAAAGACGCGAATGTTACCTTAAATTGGTATGTTTTTTTTCTGCTTGCTGCCACAAATTCTACATAGATAGTATTACTGAGCAAACAAGACCACAAAAAAATAAAAAATGAGGGTTCCATTGTGCACTAACAATTTTATATGTTCTGCTCTTGCATGAGCTGTGCCACTAATTAGCATGATGTAGTGAACCAAATGGGCAAAAGCACATGTGTGATGGTTTGGTGCACTGAAGTGCAGCTCTCCCGTGGCAAGGAAAGCAAGTAAATGTGATAAGCAGTTGCATTTTGGCTTTGATCAGGGGTGGTTGCTGAGATTTACACTCAAGTGACTTCCATCTGCCAGCTCTTACAAAGTGCAATGGTCGCTTCGCCAGGCTTTGTGCTGTATTAGGCCAAATGCTGTAGGCCAGGATCTGGCCTCCCCTGTCATGGAGTTCAACTGCTCCTCCTCCAGAATAGGGTTCAACTTGGGCACAGAGCTGCCATGTGAACACTGCATTTAAAAGGGGAAGTCTACCTTTTAGAAAAAAAATAGTAAATGCACCCAATGTGCAATTATATTTTTTGCATTGAAGCAATTGAAGAATGAATGGACAAGTGCAATATCACCACACTTGTACACCCATAGAGAACTACAAGCCCCCCCCCCCCCCGTTCTTGCAGTGTTAGCTAATAGGATTTGTAGTAACTCCACTCACAGATCCTGTCAAAGGATTTGTGATTGGATGACGCAGTTGTGTGGGTGAAGCCATGCACAGTCACTCTGAATTCAAAAATGAACACCAGACTGCAGGGAGAAGAACCCTACGATTCAGGTAAGTGTGTAGGGGGGTGCGATTTGACCCTGGACATAGGTGTAACATGAAACATGTTCAGAAAGGTAAACTTAGCCTTTAAAGCGGACTTTTACACTCAAAAATCAAACTCTACCAATGCACCCCTCTATGTATGATAATTAATAATAACAGACATATCAGGTGTAAAATGCAGTGATTCTGAAATACAGTTGCAGAGCATTCACTTCCTGCTTTGAAAAGGCAAAAAGACTTCAGTTTGGCAAAGCAATGCACACTGGGATTGCCTTGTCATCAGCAGAGCATTGCTGGGAAATCTCATCTGTAATCTCACGAGATCTCAGGGAAAGGCATTTCCCTCCACTGAGATGTACATGGTCACATGTCCTAGTCACATGTCTAATCACACGTGCCAGAAATGCAGGAAGTAAAAGGAATGCTAGTTATCTGCCCATACATGGCCAATGTAAGACCCGGGATAGAAAAGAGAAATAAGGAATGCAAAGAATACAAAGTCGGCAGTTATCTTGAAGTGTGTGTGTGTCTAGATTGTCATTACTAAACATTTCTAAAAGTGTGTTTGTTGTTTTTTTAAAGATATGGGTAAAAGGTCCACTTTAACTTCATGCCTTTTATATAAATTGTAGCCATTTTTGAAATATAAATATGCAGTTAGTGTTAGTAAAGACAGTATTAAAACACTTTTGATTTCCTCTTGCACATTTTGCAAACTTTTTTTTTTCCCCCCCTGCACAATACTAAAACCAGGCTAGATTTATAATCATCGCACACTTGCACAATTGCATCATGTTGTTAGAGACCCGCAGAGGGTCACATGCGTGCAGCAGCTTCTCCCAGTTCCATAGCACATCTAGTTTCTGCTCTGGTCTCTTTGTGACCTAATAGCAGCAACTGTCAGGGCCGCTCCTAGCTCATCCTCACTCCCCAGACATGTTTTACCGGATTACAGAGAGACGGGAAAACTGACGAGCAGAATTTTCCTGGAACAGGCGGCTGCATGCTACTAGCCAAGAATCTCTGCAAGTACAGAGAAACACATGCTCCCCTACCTATCTGCACTCCTCTGATTTACATGGAAATCTCCTCTCCGGGAAATTACAGGGAAGCAAGACTGATTTCCTAAGAAATAATCACTAACTAAATTCCATAGACTGGAACATACCAAAAACAACAAGCTCGGGGAACCTAATCCACCAACACCCTCTTATAAAGGGAACCATCCTTGTGGTACAGTGTGCAATACATGGATCAAGACTATATTTACAAAAGGAACTAGAGTGATTTACCAACACGCCACTTTACTTTCAAAACAGGAAGCTTGCTGTTGAGTATTACAGGAAACTGCAGAGTCAGAAGAGAGCGAGTGCAAGTGTAAGAAAGTACAACTCCTCTACTGTCGCTACTAAAATGACTGCATTCGTATTTCCCATGTAAGCCAATATGCTAAACAAGATGAAAGTTACCGCAATAAAAACGTTGCGGCAGAAGACACAAACATGAATAGACATGTATCCATGCTGCAGACCTACAGGGGTTGCAGAGGGTGCTGCTGAACCAGGACTGAATGCTCAACAATAAAACTTCAGCCATTTAGTTAGGTCTAGTGCAGCCTCTCTCAACAAGGGTGCTGTTGGACTCCGGGGTGCCGTCTGGCTTCCTCAGGGGAACCTTGAAATGTTTGCACAGTGTCATGCCTTTCCATGGTGTGGGAGGGCTCCTGATGTGAAGAGGGGACACTTAACTTGAAAGAAGGGGACTCGGATTTGAAAGGGGCTCCTAGCTCGAGAGGGGGGCTCTGGTGTGAAAGGAGGGGGCTCCTAATGTAAAGGGGGACCCATGTAAAGGGGAAAACCCAACTTTTTTGTGTTTTTGCATGCCCCTCACCCTTGCAATCCATACCAGATTCCTATCTGGGATAAGGGTCTGGTATAGATTGGAGGGGCCACATGCATACTTTTGAAGGGTGCAATCACTAAATATAAAAGGTTGAGATACGATGATCTAGGGGCCTCTCGACACTAAGGGACACTAATTTTTTTTTAAAATAAGCACGCTATGAACAAGTCACTTAAGCCACTTGACCAAAAATACACAATTCTGCCAGTTATCAACCTCACAGAATAGCAGAAACTGATAAATTGTCTATTATGCTATAACATGCATTTAAAAAAAACAAAAACACTTAGTAAAGCAGAATAATAAATTCAATTTGCATTTGTTTTTTTTCAATATTGTCTACGGTATTGTGCCCATCAGGGCTTCCCATAAGCCTTGCTTTTAGCTCAAGTAATGGCATGCACCGAAACAAACGCAGAGGGTTCAAAAACACATGCAGGAAGTCTGAGGTTGGAATGACTATTTCAGTAAGCAGGCCATGGACGCGAAGCACGTGCTGGCATTTTATCGCCTGCAAATAAAATCCTACACAAAGAATATGAAAAAAACGCAATGGAGAGCACGAAAGCTCGTTGTGGTTTTCACCACGGCCTCGAAGACCATGGACTGATTGCCGCAGTCACAATGTAAACGCAGTTAGTGTGTTCTTCACGTGTCGTATGATCTTTACCATGACTATTGTACGATAGGGACATAAAACTGAACTCTGCAAGGGCAGGAACGGACGTACATAGTTCAATGTCCCCTTAAAAAAAAAAAAAAAAAGCTGCGAAATTTAATTTTAAAATGCAGAACTGAGAGGACAATTAATTGATTTTTTTTTTCTTCTCCCAAATGAACTGGATTGAATTTCACAAGCAGCTTTACAACTGCAGATAATAGCAGACTCCTATGACACGCTGCAAGGCAGTATATAGGTCAAACAACAAAAGAGCAATGTAATCTTTAAACCTGCCCTAGCAAGAAGAACTAAACTACGTCGGAGAGCAGTAAAACATGACACCACCCTTGTGGTACACAAACGCAGAGGTTAAGGCTGTAGTACCACCCCCAGCACTCCCTACCCTTGTGGTACACAAGTCTAGGGGTTAAGGCTGCACTACAAGCCCCAGCACTCCCTACCCTTGTGGTACACAAGCCCAGGGGTTAAGGCTGCACTACAACCCCCAGCACTCCCTACCCTTGTGGTACACAAGCCTAGGGGTTAAGGCTGCGCTACCACCCCAGCACTCTCTACCCTTGTAGTGCACAAGTCCAGGGTTTAAGGCTGCACTACCACCCCAGTACTCTCTACCCTTGTAGTACACAAGTCCAGGGTTTAAGGCTGCACTACCACCCCAGCACTCTCTACCCTTGTGGAACACAAGTCCAGGCGTTAAGGCTGTACAACCACCCCCAGCATTCTGCACCCTTGTGGTACGAAAGCCCAGGGATTAAGGCTGTACAACCACCCCCAGCACTCGGTCAATTATTGCAAAGCATGCAAAGACCCCTCGTGCAGGGAAGGACAGTGGGAGGGAGCACTGAGCAAGCAAACAAAGTCAACGCAAGCAATCTAGGGGACAGAACTAACTCTATACAGTCTAGCAAAGGGAAACTACAACCCCAAATCACCCTTGCAGCCCACTATTTGCTGTCACCCCCAAGGCACAACTACAGTCCAAATCAAGAAGGAAGCTCGGCAGATTTTGCTTTTTACATGCATGCAATATCATAAACTAAAAGTGTTAAAGGCATACTATTTAAAGATGTGGTAGATCAACCTAAAAGAGAGAGACACGCTCGCTAAAGATACAAAAGGTCCTTTTCGAAAGGGTGTTATGCATGCTGCTTTTATATAAACTGCAGTTCTAAAGTATACAGATATCAGGCAAGAAAAGTTATATTGTACACAGGATTCGATGGGGTGATGGTTGTAACTCACCAAGTTCCAGCAAACAGAGCCACTGCTGAGCTGAGCATATCCACTCTCATGGAAAGGAGGAAGTAAACAGCACAATGTGACCATCCACCAGAATGTGCGCAAAGTGGGCTACACCGTCTAAACTGTGCTCAGTACAGGAATAGGGGGTCCACCCCAGACTCCAGGAAGGGGCTTTGGCGATAAGGCGACTGCGTTCTCCTGAGTCTTCCCGTGCAAAGGCAGAAGCTGGGTGCAGACTGAGTGGAATGACTGCATGGCTCTGACTCATCAGCTGAGCTCACTGCTTGCAGCAACAACAAAACACACACACATAAAATCCCCAGCAGTGAGAGTGCAAGAGGGAGGGAGCCACTGAGCTGTACAATTATACAACATGATGGGAACCCTCCCTCTCTACTCTAAGGAGATTACAGGGAGACCATGCAAACATCCCTTCACTGCTTGTCCTGTCATCATGTCACTTTGTATCCACCGTCACTGGGTTACAGTTACTGTATTAAAAAAGGAGGTTCTCTTGCATCCCCTTTAACTGTAAACTCTCCACTCTGCAAAGTTTGTACATATCCTCATGTATATCACAGGGCTAATGGATTTATTTTTCTGTTACTGGTATTTCTAGAGAACTATCAAGTCATTATGCAACGCTTCGCAAACTATTGATTACGCAACACTTCGCAAACTATTGATTCACATCGGTTCCTGCCCTCAAGGAGCTTACAATTGAAGTCCCCGTTCACACCATTGCGTTTTGTGAACGCATGGCAAACTGGGGGAAAAAAAATGCAATGGCACCCAAAACATGCAATGCTCTTGCAGTGCCCATTACTAGTGAATGGCACCCCAAATGTGGCCCGGAAAACTAACACAAAACATAAGGGGAAGAAAAAGCAGAACGCACAAAGCAGATTTTGCTACATGAGCTACTTTGCACGCTTTTGGCATGCATCAAGGAACCCATTGAAATTAGCGCAGATGCACGGGAAACAAACGCCTGAGAACATGCGTCACCGCAACGTTTGTTCCTGCTACGCTATGGTGTGAACGGGGGCTCAGGTCCCTATCTCACATACATATATACACGCATATACATACTAAACATGAGCCAATTAGGTCTTTTCACATGGTTGCCATCCATTCTGATCAGCAGGGGATCCACGCATAAATCCCTTGCTGATTGGTGCAGTACAGAGCGGATGTCACTTTTGCGTCACCTCCATCACAAAAAAAATAAAAAATTTAGCTGCAGTTCTGCTTTACAAGGGGCGGCCTATTTTCTGCCAAAAGGTCTGAACTGTGATCATGCTTTGTTAATAATAAATAAAAAAAACTAACTCCTAGGTTTTCAATTCTATATCCCTTCCTATCGGAAGAAAACATATACAGGTCTATTCAATAAAGAACCATCAATTTAAATATATACATACATACATACACACACACACATATACATACATATACACACACACACGCACAATACAATGTGCAATACAATAATCAGGCAATTAGATGTGTTTACCTAACAGTATTCAAATGATATCTGATTCACTGCTACTGATCCTTCATTTTCATACCGTCACTACTCATTGTTTTGCTTTAATGAGTAAGTCCCATGATCTTATATAAGTTTCAAACTGTTTGTGCATATTGGCAAGCAATAGAAGTAAAGGTGCCCACAAACACTGGATGAATGCATGGCGATCCAAACAAAATAGTTTGTGGCTGAAGGTTCTTTTTTTTTAATTATTATTTTATGCAGCATCGCTCCATATTCATTTAATTTTCTCTGCTTTGGGTGGAACAGGGCAGGGCTTGGAGCCAGGACTTCCCTTTTGCCTGGGAGCCTGGTGGGGTTATCTCACACTCCCAACCTGGCTATGATATGTGCCAAGTCTGGTTTAGAAGAGACACTGCTTGTCATCACCAGTGGTAGCATTTACCATATTCCCATAAAACATACACTCTACAACATGAACCCCCTTGTACAGTATGTCTGTACCTATAAAACTATCCAATGCACCAGTACAATATTCATTTTGTTTTTTTCTTTTTAAGTTTATACAGTTATAAACAGATGTTTCCCAATATCTCTCTTATTCTCTAGGTGGCTTCAACTGAACTGGGCAGACAGTGGTGTAAAAGAGATAAGTTACTCCTGTTGCTTATACAATCATGGGTGTCAATTTCAGCTTGAGCTATTGTGCTGTGTAAACAGGTTACAGCAGTAAGAGTAGATTAACCTGTGAACAGAAGCCAGGGACTTCACCCGCTAGCTGTAAATATAACCGTAAATATTCTTATGAAAAATGTAATAGCGGTCTAAAAGGAAATTAAAGAAGAAAAATAAACTTTACAAAGTCCTGAACAAAGAAATAATATTCAAAAACAATTAACACACATCTCTAGCTGTTGTGGAACTACAAGCCCCAGCTCTATTATATTACCAAGACTTAAATGTAGAGGTAGGTGGTTTGTGCCCAAGCACTAACAGACATCCTGTTTCTGCATAGCTGGCTCCAATTGTCTCAGCTCGGCTTCCCTGAACATCCTGTCCAGTACAAGATCAAAGAGACAGAGCAGAGTCCAGCAGCCATCCATCTACCAGTTTAGAGAAAAGCGAGCAGATGAGTGGATTGTCTTGCTGTACCTTTTTGTTTGTAGAGACACATACAGCTTACTAGCACACACAAGGGTGGCTCCATAAGACCCTGCAAGGAAAAGGGGCCTAATACAGGATATCGGGGTAGTGCTTAGGGAACCAGCTGATTCTGCAGGAAGCAGAGACTTTTAAAATCAAGAAACAGCTTCCATTGTAAGTGATCAAATCAGCATTTGAAATAGCTTAAAAACCCTTTGACTTTAATATCACTTTAATCGTAGCCCCAATGCAAGGGTGCATTTTTTTTAAATCCCCGGAGTTCTTCTTTAAGATAATACAGTTACCAAGCATTCATTGTAAGAGCTCAGTGGGAGGCCTACACATCAATTTGCTTTGCATACTCTGAATGTTACTAGGCAGTCACATAATTGACATGCAAACAGAATTGTATGTTACAGATTTAGCGAGCAAAGTGTGACTATTGTAGCACTCAGTCATTGTGTATGTGAAGTGACAGTTAGTGGAGCACTTCCCCCTGTGTGACAGCTCATTTCTGCAAGCAACCAAGTTTCACTGACAATGTGGCTTTGCTAGCACTGTATCCATCCTCTAATAACAGTACATAGCTACAGTAGACTTGTTCCACTATGCAAAGCAGTCCATGGTAGATTTAACATCTGCAGGTTTCTGTACCCACTCATGTTTGTGCAATAGCTCACGGGCTGCCGAATGTTAACATTGCTATCTTTTCCTGTAGTGTTGCAAGCATATATCCTGGCCACGCATGGGCTCAGGTTAGGGCAGGTAACTACGGTTTGACCTACTATTATGTAAAAGCAATGTATATACACTATATGCATGGGTGGTAAATGTTTAAAGTGCACCCATGGGACTCAAGGTAAAGGCATTTCTTTGAAGTAAAATACAGCTCACCATTTATGCCGGATTTATATCTGGACCTACATAGCCCAGTAAGTTTCCACTTACTCAGAGAGATGAATGTTAGGCCCTATTCACACCTAGACTAGAATCTCAATTCAAATTACCAAACTAAACGTGAGATTGTAGTCCATCATGGGAGCGAGGTTGGAGTGGTGACTACTTTGCAACACACACAGGGAACATGGGGAACAAAAGTAGCCACCCTCCAGAAGGAAGGACAGTGTCTCCACCAATTGAGAGACGATTTGAGGATCTACAGCCGAGTGATACACAAATAAGATACATTTTTGGTAATAGTTAAAAAGGTACTTGAATGTATTTTTAAGATTTTTAGTGTCACTTTAAGGGCCCATTCACACTACATCATCTCCAGACTGTTTCCGAACTTAAAGTGCATCCTAATGTATCCCTATGCTATTTCTGGCATCTGCTCACACCAGCGCAGTCCGTTCCAGACCAGAAAAATACTGCACGTCTCATTTTGTCTGGTCTGGAATGCACTGGAACTGTGGCAGGTTCACACTATTTTCCGGACCAGATCTGGCCTGCCCTAAGGTCTCATTCACACTGCTAAGAGCGTACAGATCCGTGGACAACCGTATCGGGCCGCTGCCGGGAAGGACAGGTGCTGCGTGTGATTGTACGCAGCAGCCTGTTCTTTTCTGTGGGAGTACGCGGCCGTACGCTCACCCGAGCTGTACATCTGTGCGGGTGCCCGTACTCAGACAGGATGGATCCTGTCTGCGTCAGAGCACGGACACCCGCACGCATGTGCAGTTCGTGTGAGCATAGGGGGCGGCATACGGCCGCGTACTCCCATAGAGAAGAACAGGCTGCTGCGTACAATCACACGGAGCACCTGTCCTTCCCGGGAGCTGCCTGATACGGCCGTGCAGGCATCTGTAAGGGTCGGCTCTTAGCAGTGTGAATGAGGCCTAATTTAATCCTTGTGTGTAAGCACCGAGTATTGAGTCTAAAGTCTGTATGTATCATGTTCTTTCCACAATGTTCCTGAACCCACAAAAGTGTGCTGTATAAATCCTCTTCCTTCCTATAGTACCGGTCACTAGAATAAATATATTCTCCTACATAAACCATCCACACAGAAATCCCAACAGCTGTAGAGCACCACATGCATTGAGGATGAGTACCCTCAATGGATAGCCGACACTTTCGGAAACACTGGCCTTTGCCTATAGGAATATATCATATAAACCTATTCCTGTTGATTATAAATAAATATTTGCACTTTTCCTCCACAGTTACACAGTAAATCTAAGACTCTCATCATAAAAACCCACAAAAAAGATACAAAAGTTGCAAGCACTCCAAACCGAACTACTTATGACAGCGTGGTGTTTGGTGCATTAATGTGCAGGTAATAGCATTAAATGCTCGCTCCATACTGGGGAAAATGACAGGTTGTTGAGGATACATTTTCAATTGTGTTCTGTCGGCTTCTATTGCCATATACATTTTTTACTTTCTTTAACCTCTTATTCTGCAACACGAATCCACATAACTGAACACAGAAGAACATTTTCTTCTATCTAACAATCTGCCGAATGAAATGTTTGCAAATTGTCTACACGATGCCAGCAGGCTGAGACCTGACCTAGCTTGCGGGGAGGAAGTACCAAAAAATGTGACATCTGCTTTTTTCTGCTTATAAACTATGAAACTCTGAGATTTACCACTTTTGTAGGAATCTGGACACTGATTTGGTGAAACATATATACTTGGCCATAGTCCCAGAGAGTTCCAGTGGGGTGATGG